CTTTTTTCCCCCATTGTTGATTATTACCACCCGAAGTATTATTCCAATTAAAGTTAGGATGGTTCTTCCAACCTGGGTTATAATAATTTGAACATGGGTTATTCTGCTTGTTATTTATGTCATTCAAAGTTTTTAATGATACTTGAGAATCTACCATTTAGCCTAATGAATTCTCTTCAATCATGAAAATTGGTTGAGAAAATTTCATTCCAAATTGGTATAATTTCCTTGAAATTACACCAACTTGATTTGCTAACATGACAAAAATATAAGTTTCATTAAAATTGACTACTTTCTTAAGATTTATTTTTTCAGAAGGCCATTGAAAATTATTTGTAGTCATCTCTTCAATTAAAAAATAAGTGTCATTAAATGGTATTGACATCATTGAACCACAAATAGGGTATCGATAATAAATCTAAAAGATCTAACTAATCAATTATAAAAAGTTTGATTTTTAACCAATATGGTATAACATGGTGTGGACAATTTCTTAATGGTGTGGACAAGGTGTGGACAATTTCTTAAGAGTTCTTTAAATCGTTCTCATGCTTCATAAGTAGATTCTCTTTCAAACTAGCAAAAGGATGTAATATCATTTCTAAGCTTTACAGTTTTTTAAAATGAAAAATATTTAAAAGGGAATTTCTACGCTATATCATCCCAAGTTCTGATAGATCTAGGTGATAACAAATGTAACCATACCTTAGCTTTATCCCTCAGTGAAAAAGGAACTAATCTAAGTCTTATAGCATCATCTGATACACCATCATATTTAAATGTAGCACACAATTCCAAAAAATTGGCAAGATGTAAATTTGAATCCTTAGTTGGTGCTCTCCCAAACAGATTATTTGATATCATTTGGATAATCACATGTTTAAGCTCAAATGAATTAGCCACTACAGTGGGTTTTTGAATACTACCATGAAGTTCATCCACTGTAGGGTTTGCATAATCTTTTAAAGGTCTAAACTCTTCAACATTTTGATTATTTTGATTTGTCATTTCTTGAAATTCTTCAGTAATTTGTAATTTTTTAATTTTTATAATAGTTTTTTTTCTAATTCAGAATCATAAGGCACAAGTCTTATGGAACTTGAACTATGCATACAATACTATAAAACACATAAAAATAAAGTAAAATAAAAATAAAAATAAAAACCCACAAACAAAAACTTAATACACTAAAATATTCCTATACTAAATCTTAAAGTTTAAATAAGACTTTGTAAAAATAGAAATTTTGCTTTCTAAATTTTTTTTTAATTTTCCTTCATTTCAGTTTCCCTGACAAAGGTGCCAAAAACTTAATCTTGACTTTCTATATATATGTCAAATACGATATATGTGATTATATGCTTAATTTCCTTAATAGTGAGTCCTACTTTACAACAAAGCCAACAACTTAATCCAAAGCAAAAGCTAGGTGAAGTTTCAACTATGAAACAAAGAAGAATACATTTATAATTTTTAAATATGGGATATTACACAAGTGTATGTATTGTTATCAAGTAATATAGGACTTTTTAATTAAGCTCAGAATATCAAACCCACAGAGAAACTTGGCAATATGCACTTTAAAAAGCTAGAAAGTTTAGATAACAAAAATCTACTTAGCAAAATATTTTTATTTAAACTTAAGGTGTTATAATAAGAGTGAAAATTTGATTCTTTTTGTACTTTTTGGTTTATAAAAATAAAGTAAACAACTAATTAACTAAACTAAATATTTGCAAGATGAAGGAAATATAAGTAAAATATCTTTTTCCCTAGCATGAATTAGTAATAAGTATATAAATTCTGTTGTGGAAGTATGCTAAGAAGTATGTCTGTTGTGGAAGTATGCTAAATGTGTTGTGCCAAATAGGAGCATTAATATTCTTTACCCTTACTAGAGATGTTGTAAAGAACATTGGTTGATCTATAGTTTAAATAATCGTGAAGACCGGTTAGATAGGAAAGATACTAGCTCTCACTCTAGAGTTCCCATTTTTCTCTCCACCTGAGAGCTAACATCTCATATCAAAACCTAAAACTATAAATCAAATTGGGGGTTTTACTGTGTCACTCTAAAGTCCTCTAATTCTACACCCTTGAAAAGTTTATTTTGGTATTTATTTGCACTCAACCCTATGACATACATTATCATCCTTGAAATCAATATGTGATTCTAACCATTTGTTGACTGAAAAAATACCATCTCGGATCTTAAATGTTCTCACACAGGTATTAATATCATTATTGGTCAAATGAAGAAGTAAATGAAGTACAAGGTTTCAAATCATCACAACTTTTTCCAACATTGAAGTCTAATACTTCACACAAATTCTTTTAAATACTTAATCGCTTATCATTTTAAGAAAAAAGATAAAGAAAACTACTCAGAATTCATGGAGAAAACACAACCACACATGAGTTTAAAAGTAGAAATCATGCACACAAAAAAAATCTAACTTAAAACCAAATGTCATCACACAGATAAACACTTATCTCAAATCCTCTCTACTAAATGTCTTCACCCCACAGATACATCACAACAAAAGCCTAATATGTCCTCCGCAGATGGCGGCGGCGGCGGCGGCGGCGATGGTTACTAAGATGAATGGTGGTTATGGATGTCTAATGGCTGGCCTCTTGGAGGTTTCCTTTAATGATCCAAGTCTTTTTTTATGAAAATCCAAAAGGTGTCTTGGTGTCTCTTCAACATGTGTCTCCATTCAATGAATCTTCTAGAATTTCTTCTTTTCAAAAGCCAATTGAATGAATTTTCATGTTCATGGACTATTTCCCACGTTTTTACTAAGGGTTGCTTCAAACACCTCTTCAAAATTTCGTTCAAATTCAATAAATCATCAAATAACTACTTTTAGTACTTAAGCGCGGTGTACCTGGTGCTTAGGCGCGACTCTCTATGAATAATTGGTGCTTAGGCGCTAGTCCTGGGCGCTTTTTCGCCTCAATTGATTTTTGCACCTTCATCATTATTACTCCAAATTTAACCCTTTTTCACTCCTTTTAGAATTTTTATCCATTTGATTGTATCTGAAAGAAAAACACACAAATACCTTTCATTAAAGTACAATATCTCAAAAATAGGTATAAAAATGTGTATGAAAATTCTATATATTTTAGGTGTATCAAAGCCCTAGTGACAAAGTGATCATTTTGGAATTTTAATGCCTTCATTAAATTTTAGGATCAATCAAAAGGTAAATGGGTAATATTGATCATAATAAACTTTTTGGATGATTGAAACATAATGGGTTAAGAGGTAGAAATGAATTTGTCATCCTTTTCATGATAAGCTTTGCATTGTAATTTTGATAGTTGTTATGATTTGGAAGATAATTCGATAGGATGGTCCTAAAAGTAATGGGCTTAAGCTATGAAAATAATAACTCACTCATTTAGAGCCCATCAATTGGTGATTAGATACTAAGTCTAGTATTAATGAGAAAGGAAGTCTCATTTCAATATTTAATTATCTTAAATTTACTTTGAAAATCTTTGAAAATTGAAATTTGAAAATTGAAATTGAGAGGGCCTAATAGTGCATTAGGTTTGATATGTGAGAATTGTCTTAGTTGGGATTAGAAAAGATAGAAATAATTGATTAATGAATATTTTCAAACACTTTAGGCCTTACTTTAACTCTGGGCATTGAAATCCTTAATGACATTGGACTTGCTCTTTAGGGCACCCACTCATATAACTATCAAATGAAATACTATGTGACTATCTAGTTTTGTCTCATTTTTGAGATAATTAAAATGTCAAGGTTCATTGAGTAATGGGATAATTTCAATTTCTAGCTTGGAACGGTTAATAGAACAATATGATAAATTCAAAATGAACTCGAAAGGTTTCAAGTGATTTTAAAGGTTGTTCAGGGTTATTCCCCGAACACTTTGGAATCTCTTGGATATTTTGAAGGACAAATTGCACTTGTTATATTTTGTTCTATAAAATCATCCACTAAGATCTTTCGGAACTCATTGAGTCATGGTTTGAGGGTTTGTTATATACACCTTCAACTATTCTTGTTTTAAATTTTCTATAAAATTATATACATGTTGCACAAGCGAATCTTCTAGTGGGAATGCTAAGAAGATAACAGGTACACTTTTATAGTATTATTTAATTTTTTTCATTTTACTTTCTGCAATCTAATTTTGCTCCAAACTGTTTTAACTGCTTAGTTGTGCACTTTACTTTACTTGCAAAAAAAACAAAACCATTTTAATAAATTAATTAACATTTTCAAAAATTTAAAATAAATTATTTCAAAGGTAACCATAAATCCTTTGAAATGTGACTAAACTTAAAACTTCCTTTTGAATTAACGGGAGTCTTCTTGAAAACAATATTCTCTGATCTAAATCGAGAGTTTTCTTAAGTGACTTCAGTTATCTAAGACGTAATTAACTAAAGGGGATTGCACTTATAGAAAACTTTAAGAATCCAACTCAATTTAAACCCTATTTAATTTTTTCATATTAAATAAGGAAACTTGTCCGTCAACATAAAAAAAATGTTTTTTTGCATACTCAAATGGATGTCATAAATTTTTTAGTTTATTTAATCGAGTCTTACCAGTGAGTAGTATATCTATTCTTCAGGATGGATGCATTGCTTGAGGTATTAGACTCAATTATTTAAACTACTGAGGATATGAGATTAATTCGATCTTATATTTAATATATGTATGTGCGTGTGTGTGTGTGTGTGTGTGTGTGTGTTTAATAAAAGAGCAACTCGTGGCTACCTAAGCCTTAAAACTAAAAAAGGTTACAAAATAAGGGAGGGATAGTGGATCCCCAGCTAAAAAACAAAAATACATTATAGTCCTAGGGGTTCCAAAATCCACAGTACAACCCAATGCAAAAAAGTAAGGAAAAACAAAAAGGTACATCAAAACTAAAAAACAAGTGACCCAAAATAGATAAGCTTCATGTAGCTCCAACCAATCATTTCCTGCGCAAAAGAAAAAATTATACCGTCTGGATTTCATTGCAATAAACGCCTTAGAAATGACGACTTGTAGCCAGAAAACCTCACAAATTGCCGCGACAACATCAATAAAATAGCAACAAAGATCAGAAGGAGGTCAAACTGAAAAATCATAAAACCCATAAATAAGAGTTAGTCATGAGTAATGCTTTCGCCAGTCATAGTGGAACTAACAAAAAAATTACATAGGGCAAAAATTCTAATCCACTCATAAGAAACACTCCATAAACAAAACCAAAACACTAAATATAGAGATGATGGTAAAAATGTAAAACGAAGGAAACATCCCCAAGAAGAGCTAATCCACGTCATATCCAAATAGCCTTATCCAATTGTTCTTCCAGAAACAAGCTTCCAGAAACATAACCAAAACTAAATAAGGAGATGGTGGTATAAATGTAAAACTAAGACTGCATCCCCCAGGAAATCCAAAAAGCCTTAGCCAACTCCACGCCATATCCACACAGCCATAAACAAAATTGCTTCCAGAAACATAGTCATACCCAATAACTAAATATATAAATGGTGGTATAAATGTAAAACATTGAAAACATCCCCCAGGAAGAACTAAACCATATCTAAATAGCCTTATCCAATTGTGCTTCCAGAAAAGTAGCCAAAACCAAATAAGGAGTTGGTGGTATAAATGTAAAACATTGAATGCATCCCCTAGGAAGTCCAGCCAAATCGAAAATAATATTGAAAAGAAAATGTCATAGAAAGAATAGTTAAAAAACACTATTCCTTCCCATAACAAAAAACCAATTGCAAAGCCAGGCATTAACATCTAAGGTAAGGAGAATCAAGTAGATCACCATTCAGAAGAGTGAGAAGATGCGGCATGGGTAAAGTGCCACAGCTAACGTTAATAGAATTCCTGGCCAAATAAGCTAACCAATTAGCAGGAGAGTTACCTTCTCTGTAGATAAAAGACAAATGAAAAACTAAATTGTATCAACGTACATAATCTCGAATTTGATTCATATTAGCAAGAAAATCCCATCGAGGCATAGCGATATTGTAGAACTCATCTATAAGCGTTTGTGAATCCATCTCAAAAATGATTTTAGTAAATATAAGACGAGCCCCAACCCAAAAAAACTAAAAGAAAAGCCCAATTTCCAGCCTCCAAAAGAGAGGCGGCGCAAATTGGAGAAGCAAAATAATAAAGACACTGCCCAAAATGATTCTGAAGGAACCCATCCGCACCAACCACGCTGAAGATCCAACTGCCATCCATATTAAATTTAACTCAGTCCGTAGGTGGGGGTTGCCATCTGAAGATGGTCATCCTACCCACTTTAGACTGCGTAATATCACCCGACAAAGATAGAGAACGATAGGCCCATTTGAAATGAGCCAAAATGTTATAGACAGTAATATAAGGAGCCAACAAATTGTTATCATACTTAGCTTCATTCCTCGTCACCCAAATGGACCAAAGAAAAATGAGGAGAAACCAATGCAAATTTTTATCCACAGAAATAGCAATTTTCCAAGTATAAAGATAATCCTCAATAGAAGAAGAGGTAGGCCATTTTATCTTGAAATGGTTACAACAGCAAAAGGACAAAGAAAAAAATAGATCTGCAATCATTTCTGAGTCCTTTTTAAAAAAATAACATTGAGACACCATTTTCAAACCTTTAAGCTTCAAAATATCATCCAAAGGCAAAAAATTAAGAAAAAATCTCCATAAGAAAAAAGAAATAGAAGGAGAAATAAGCTTGTGCTAAATAGCCTGACTCCACCTCCAAGCACTATAAGGATAGATATTAGTATAAAGCATTTTGGTGGGCGATAAGCCAGCAGTAGTTTTCCATAGGGGAGTGTCCTTCCTAGTATTCATTATGGGAAGTTTAACAATCTTAGTCGCCTCATGCGCACCAAAAAGATCATTAAGTTTATTGACATCCCAATTACCTTGAAGCCAAAGATCCGAAATAACTGAATCAGACGAGGTACCTTGCCGCATCATAAGATTGTCACCTAGCCCCATTGATCATGCCAAACAGAAATATTGCCCTCACCAACATCCTAAAAAATAAAATTACGGGGCCAACGTTCTTGCTTTAAGAATTACTTTCCAAATTCTAGAATCACCAGCCTTCCATTGAACAATAGACGGATGATGGTAAGAGCAATATTTATGATAGAGGAATTTAACCCATAAGGAATCATTGGAGCAAAATTTAAACCAAAGCTTGCACATATTAATACTAGAGATTTGATTAAGACTTTTGAGCCCTAACCCTCCAGCAGAGATAGACTTACAAACTCTACAAACTCTATGAAAAGAAGTCCAATGCTTATTCGAATAACCACCCTACCAGAGAAACTGATTGAAAAGTCTCTGAAGAGAAAGTTGAGTGCTCTTCTTGAGATTAAAAGTTTGCAAGGCGCACAAATGAAAACTAAATAAAACACTTTTAAGCAAGGTGAGGTGACCCCCATTAGAGAGAAAGATAATCCTCCAATCATCAATTTTATTTTTGATCCTTTCGACCACCTCATCTAGTTGGGTTTGCCTATGACGCCCTCTCAAAAGGTTGGCCCTGAGATACTTAATAGGAAGGGAGGCGGAGTGAAAGTCAGAAAAAGAGATAGCCCAAGAGACAATGGAGTTTTTAACATTCTTCCCAAAGAAAAAATTACATTTTTCTTTGTTAAGCCGTAACCCAGAAGCTTGTTAAAATCCCTCAAGAACCCTCATTAACACCTTGATGGTAGATTTACTGGCATTAGAGAAGAGAATAACATCATCCGCATAAGCAAGATGACTAAGAAGAACCGTGGACTTATGACTGTAGTGAGTCTACGACTTGTTAAAGTGCATATTGTTGAAAAGGCGAGAGAAGTAATCGAATGCAATGATGAAAATGGTAGGAGATAAGGAATCCCCTTGCTTGATGCCTCTCCGGGCAGAGAAGAAACCATAAGATTTTTCATTCACCATCACACTGTAGTGATTACTCTGAAGCCACCGTTGAATTAAGAAGATGTAATTATCGTGAAAATCATGAGCATGCAAAATGTTAACGATAAATTTCCAACTAATAGAGTCAAAGGCCTTTTTAATATCAAGCTTTAAGATCATATTACCACCCCAATACTTTTTATCAAGATCTTCAATAAGCTCTTGAGCAAGTAAAATGTTATCAGTGATTTCCTGGCCCTTAACAAAAGCAGAATGATGAGGGGAGATGATCTTAGGTAACATAGGCTGAAGTCTAGAAAGTATCAATTTACTTAAAACTTTGGAAATGACAGAGGTGAGGGAAATAGGATGAAATTTATCCCAACTGGACTTATCATTACCCTTAGGGATGAGTACAATTATGGAATAAGTGAAATACCTCCCAGGATCTTCCCCCTGAAAGAAACTTTGAACAGCGAGGGTGACTTCCTTCTTGATAAAATCCCACAAAGGGAGAAGGAGGACACATACTTACGCTCATCTTCAAAAAGAGTAGTGTTGATTGGAGAAACCTGATAGGTGGTCATAAAAAGATCCGTGAAATAATCAACAGCACTTTGACCAAATCCTTATCCTGAGTATAACAAGACCCGGAAGGGGAACGAATCTTAAGGATAGTATTAATGTTCTTCCTTTGCTTAATGGAGGCATGAAAGTATTTCGTATTACAGTATGTAGAGGAAAAGTTGATATCATTAGCTTTCTGTTGAAGAAAAATTTCCTCCAAAGAAATAACTTCCAAAAGTTTAGAGTGAGCAGTGGCTAAATCATCAACGTGTTGAGTAGAACAAATAACTTGTTCCTCAAGCTTGTCAACTTGAGCTTGAGCCTCCTTAACCTTCCTGTGAACATTAACAAAAAAAATTAAATTCCAATTACTTAAATGCGCAACAACCTTTTTATGAAGTTCCCACAGGTTGAACCAAGGATTACGAACACAATCAACATTCCAAGCTTGTTGCACAAGATTTAAAAAAGTCTCATGAGTGGTCCAGATGTTGAGGAATTTAAAATGATACAAAATGATATGTGGAAGGCTTAACAATGAATGCAAGCAATAATAAGATAGGATTATGATCAGAGGCAATGAGAGATGAAAATGATTCAGGAAATATTGATTGCCAAAGAAACGATCAAGCCTCTGAGTAAGGGATCCCCGCGTCCAAGTAAAGGGAGGACCAGTAAAACCCATAACAAATAACGCAACCTCACTAATTTTATCACAAAAACGATTGATAAGCGAAGAGTTGCATCTCCCCCCTCCTCTTGAGAAGAGAGCTAGCATAAACAAAAGTGACCCAAGTATAGTAGATATCATGCTTAAAATGAAGCAATACAAATTTCTTGTCGTCCTCAAGAATCATGAGATCAATATTATGCTTCCAAAAAACCCAAATTTTGTTGTTTTTATTATAAAAGAAACTATAACCTTTAAAACTCTTACGAATACGATCTTTATTAGTAGAGACGAGAGGCTCCAGAGCAACAAAAATAAAAATATTATAGACCCTACATAAGTGCTTTAATCTATTAAGGGAGGAAGGGTCCCTGAATCCCCTAATATTCTAACACATTATGTTAAACATTGTGATGTTAAACACTTTGCTCGCACAACCCCTTCTAGAATATCTAGAAGAGGTGCCGACCAGATCACCATCAGAGAGAGATCTACCATAAAAAATGATATTATTATTATCAAGATGTATAAGCTCATTATTCCGTTTACTTTTTTTCTTATTAGCCTTTTGAACCATCCATTCCTCCTCTAAAACATTCTTAACAACAGAAAGATCGACCTGAACCAAATTATTTTTTTGACAATGAGCAGAGCCAAATTCCAAATGATCATTGCCCTCTTTTTCAGGAGAAGAAGAGGTAAAGCTATGCAAATTAATGTCGGTGTGAGGGTCTAAAGGCGTCGACCCCTCATCAACAAGAAGAATATTAGTATTCATTACAGCAATTTTTCCAACGCTTTCACAATTTTAAACAGGAACTCTAGGGTTGTTTTCTATCTCATTATCGATAGTTTCAACATTTTCAACCGTGATAAGAGAGTTGTTCAAATCATCCTTGCTAACACGAATAGTAGAAAACGGAGCCACATTTTAGAGCATAACAGAAGGGAGATTAGACACATTCTCCAAATTTTCAAAAGGAAAAGTATAGTTGTTCTCAACATCACATTGGTGGAATAGCCACATTAAAAACAACAGAAGGCTGCTCAAGGGGATGCTGATTGACCAGTGTAAGTTCATTAGGCTCTGTAGGCCCCGCAGTCCCAACAGGTTGCCTAACTTCAGTGAATTAAGGAGACGTGTTCTTCATTAAGTGTGGATGTAATCTATAGCGGTGCGTAGGACTATG